ATCCCGTTAACAATGCGAAGCACGTAGCGCTCCCCGCATGCGTTTTCTCGGTAAAGATTGCGATTGCATAAGCTGCCGCGGCAACGGCAGAGTACGAAGTGGGAGGTGACGTCACTAATCCCGTTAACAATGCGAAGCACGTAGCGCTCCCTGCATGCGTTTTCTCGGTAAAGATTGTGATTGCATAAGCTTCCGCAGCAACGGCAGAGTACGAAGTGGGGGTGACGTCACTAATGCCGTTAACAATGCGAAGCACGTAGCGCTCCCCGCATGCGTTTTCTCGGTAAAGATTGCGGTTGCATAAGTGGCCGCGGCAACGGGAGAGTACGAAGTGGGGGTGACGTCACTAATCCCGTTAACAATGCGAAGCACGTAGCGCTCCCCGCATGCGTTTTCTCGGTAAAGATTGCGGTTGCATAAGCTGCCGCGGCAACGGCAGAGTGCGAAGTGGGGGTTGACGTTACTAATCCCGTTAACAATGCGAAGCACGTAGCGCTCCCCGCATGCGTTTCCTCGGTAAAGATTGCGGTTGCATAAGCTTCCGCGGCAACGGCAGAGTACGAAGTGGGGGGTGACGTCACTAATCCCATTAACAATGCGAAGCACGTAGCGCTCCCCGCATGCGTTTTCTCGGTAAAGATTGCGGTTGCGTAAGCTGCCGCGGCAACGGCAGGGTACGAAGTGGGGGGGTGACGTCACTAATTCCGTTAACAATGCGAGGCACGTAGCGCTCCCCGCATGCGTTTCATCGGTAAAGATTGCGGTTGCATAAGCTGCCGCGGCAACGGCAGAGTACGAAGTGGGGGGTGACGTCACTAATCCCGTTAACAATGCGAAGCACGTAGCTCTCCCCGCATGCGTTTTCTCGGTAAAGATTGCGGTTGCATAAGCTGCCGCTGCAACGGCAGGGTACGAAGTGGAGGGTGACGTCACTAATCCCGTTAAGAATGCGAAGCACGTAGCGCTCCCCGCATGCGTTTTCTCGGTAAAGATTGCGGTTGCATAAGCTGCCGCTGCAACGGCAGGGTACGAAGTGGGGGTGACGTCACTAATCCCGTTAACAATGCGAAGCACGTAGCTCTCCCCGCATGCGTTTTCTCGGTGAAGATTGCGATTGCATAAGCTGCCGCGGCAACGGCAGAGTACGAAGTGGGGGGTGACGTCACTAATCCCGTTAACAATGCGAAGCACGTAGCGCTCCCCGTATGCGTTTTCTCGGTAAAGATTGCGGTTGCATAAGCTGCCGCGGCAACGGCAGAGTACGAAGTGGGGGGTGACGTCACTAATCCCGTTAACAATGCGAAGCACGTAGCACTCCCCGCATGCGTTTTCTCGGTAAAGATTGCGATTGCATTAGCTGCCGCGGCAACGGCAGAGTACGAAGTGGGGGGTGACGTCACTAATCCCGTTAACAATGCGAAGCACGTAGCGCTCTCCGCATGCGTTTTCTCGGTCAAGATTGCGGTTGCATAAGCTGCCGCGGCAACGGCAGAGTACGAAGTGGGGGGTGACGTCACTAATCCCGTTAACAATGCGAAGCACGTAGCGCTCCCCGCATGCGTTTTCTCGGTCAAGATTGCGGTTGCATAAGCTGCCGCGGCAACGGCAGAGTACGAAGTGGGGGGTGAGGTCACTAATCCCGTTAACAATGCGAAGCACGTAGCGCTCCCCGCATGCGTTTTCTTGGTAAAGATTGCGGTTGCATAAGCTGCCGCGGCAACGGCAGAGTATGAAGTGGGGGGTGACGTCACTAATCCCGTTAACAATGCGAAGCACGTAGCGCTCCCAGCATCCGTTTTCTCGGTAAAGATTGCGGTTGCATAAGCTGCCGCGGCAACGGCAGAGTACGAAGTGGGGGGTGACGTCACTAATCCCGTTAACAATGCGAAGCACGTAGCGCTCCCCGCATGCGTTTTCTCGGTAAAGATTGCGATTGCATAAGCTGCCGCGGCAACGGCAGAGTACAAAGTGGGGGGTGACGTCACTAATCCCGTTAACAATGCGAAGCACGTAGCGCTCCCCGCATGCGTTTTCTCGGTCAAGATTGCGGTTGCATAAGTAGCCGCGGCAACGGCAGCGTACGAAGTTTAGCATATCTAAAAAAAGTATTAGTACAGTGCATTTACTCTTCCTTCGTCAATCCTTTGGTATAGACCTCGTTACTGTTTGCAAACATGAACTGCCGCTTGCGTCCCAAGGGACTTCCGCTCGCAACGTTTTTGCAAGCCTTTTGAACTTGCTTAGTATGGTCACCAGTGATAGAAAGCATAAATGTAACACGGACTACAAAGTTGGAGATTTAACGAGGGCCTTCGGCTGTACATTATTACATCTTGGAGGAGGCAATTTGGTTTACAGGAATACTCGAAACGTGTTAAGAGATCTCTCACTCCTTCAGTCTTTTGGCGTTCACCTGGAGAATCGCTGGTTAAATGTTTCATCGACGTTTCAAGCACCGGTGTTAAGGTGGCCCTTGCTCATTCTTTTTATGAACCGGAACTTCTCTGGGACGTCAAAGGCTGCAGTACCACCTGGTGGCGTTTGCCATAGAAAGGGTCTATTCGCAAGTCCAGCGCGCCGCTCGCCCTCCCGCGGATGACGGAGAACCAGAGGAGCGGGGACGGCAGCGGCGACGGCGGCGCGGAAACGGTGGCAGGGACTGTCGGCCTTGATGCGTGAAGCCGTTTTAATAAAAATGTGAGCGCGTTAAAAAAGGAATTCTTGTTCTGCGCCATGCAACAGCCTTGCACAAAGGACCGAAAAATATAATTTCATTAGGGACTTTTCGTGTATCGCATACGCTGCGGATTTCTGGTCTTGTGCATGGCCGCCAGCTCAATCTGTGCTCAACATGAACTCCATAGTGCGGTCTATGGAAAGTCTATTTTTTGCAAAAAGCAGGAGCAAACTCGTTGCGCAAAAGTAGGTCGAGCAATACAAATCGGGAATGGGTTCGCGTTTTAAGGCCGTTACAAGGAACATGACCTTTTATTCCAAGCACTTTAGAAAGATAGAATACCCGTACTTGCTTTCAGGTTTTTACAAAGCAAATAAAGAAAATTTCGAAACATTTTAAGCGCGTCTGTGTTAGCCAGCCGTTTGTGACGAGAGCTTACAACGCGCAGTTTTGGCCAGTTGGACCGCAATGTTGCAAATAACACGGTACAACAAATGTACGGTATACAAACATTTTTTTTTGATAGAGCATAAACAAAACCCCTAAACACGCCGATTGTGTTAACAGGCAGTTTTTTTGCATAGCGTACGACACCCCTAAACTTCAGTTGGACGTACAGCGCACTGGCGTTCAACGGGAGCTACCAACTTTCACGAGCGGCTTGATAGCCGAGTTGTGCAACTTATTAAAATAACTTAAGTGTAAATGACTGTAAAGAAAAAAAAAGAAAGTAATCGGGGTTTTCTTGGCCCTACTGCAAAACCTCGGTGTTTTTTGTTTTGTTTTTCGGTACTGTTTGATGCATACTTTTGCTGTTTCATATCTTATATTGCGCCGTCATCAAGCCTCTCGTAAAAGTTGGGGCCGTCAGTTTGATGTCAGTGGGCTGCACGGCGAACTGAAGTTTTGGAGTGTCGTATATGTGACAAAGAATGTAAGGACTAAAACATTTTTTTTTATATAGTGATAAGCACGGCAACACTTCTGGCGCGCACTGAAAATTGTGCTTCAAAGGCGCAGCGCGAGCTTGCGGTTGTAATGCTACACCGCACGATAGCGTGCGGTAATAAACTTTTTATCAATAACCATAGAGCAGTTTGATTACGTGTTGCAATACACTAAAACCGAGACGGTGAGCAGCGATTTGAGAGGCTGTGACGCGAAGACATAAATACTGTGTATTGCTGATCTTCCGAAGCTTGACGGACACCGTTCGCGGCTCTCTTTTTAGAGCACTGATGGCCAGGTAAAGCGCCAAACATATCTTCATCACTCTCAGAAATATTCTGCCACAAACAGTAACGTGGCCGGTGCCTAAAACGCGCTCGCTCACCACAAAGGTTCGCAATTTGAGGTTTCTGCGACTTTAAAATATCAGCATGCTCGTGTTCATAACGTACATCGGCATCTCCGTCACCTGTTATATGATCCCCCCCTAACCGCTTCGCATTTGTAGACAAATAAATCATTTTTAGCGCGCTGAACAGCCTCAGCGAGCAGGCGCACGGGATATCCTGGAGAATCTATCCCCGTCTCTTCCGCCATCTTGGAACTACCGCCCCGCCACCTATAGGGCGTTGGAGTTCCGAATAGTGCAGAGGGCAATCGTTGCAGGTGATACCACAGCTTTGCTGGCCAACCACCTTAACAACGTGAATTGGAGCCCCAACACTTTGTTTATATTGTTTGTATTTCGTGCACCGGAGTTTTTGCATGTGCTTCGATTGCTCTTTTTATTTTTTTATTGCCCTTCAAAGTGTATTTGTGATTCCCGCTCCTATTGAAGTCCTTAATTTCTACTAATAGTATGACAAATAAGTAAATAAAACAAATAACAATGAACTTCATATGCCTAAGCAACCTGACGTCGATCTACCTTATTTTGGTTACACAGGTTACATCTGTAAAGGATAGATTTAGCCAGTGCAATATTACTGTTTGCTTGAGGTCTTGAACGTCCATCAAGCAGCGGTAACATAGGGCCGAAACGTGGGCCTCAAACGCTCAGGGGTGAAGATTGGGCCTTAGATCCGCGGCTTGACCGAATGGGATATCGATGCGCTAACAAATTCGATCAACCCACTCCCTCCCCCCCCCCCCCCCCATGCATTCCTGCCCTTGTTGCGCAAGTTTATCATCACCGAATTAGTTGAATCTCAAGTTGACAACAATTCTAACCAATCAGTCATAAGCAATCACGAATAGCTCCTATCCATCATTGTATACTATCTCTGGCGGAACACGAAGAAGTCGGTGGTATATCATTCGCAGTGTACCTTGGCATTCCTCGTGCCACAATTTTATCAGAAAACATTAAAAAGGACTAAAACTTAATACTTAAGTATGCCCGTACAGTTTGAGTATCCTTTCGATACTCAATAATCCGGAGGCTGAGAGTCTTGAAGTAAAGATATATATCTTTGTTGAGGGCCCTTATTTTCAAAAGTTTGGCAAGTCCAGGAAACAAAACTGAAACACACGAAAGAAGGCAAAGTGTTATACACGAAACAGAAATATCTCGAAACTTTCAAATTTAGATTTGTTTCACAAGAACAAGATAGAGGGGCCACCTGACACGTCAGATCATCTCAGTAAATGTCTTATAATAATAATAATAATAATAATATAACGTCAAAATATCCGCGACGATGGCTGTGGACATAACCCTCGCATGGGCAACTCGGACACCAAACCACGTATACGGTTGAAACTTCGTAACTACCACTTCCGGCATATTGGCTCTTAATAAATGGAGACGGATATTTCGAGGTACAACCACGAGTGCTACGTGCATACTTTTCATCCTTCGAACAATCCGGCATTTATGGGCAGTTTAAGACGATAGCCACTCATTCTCGCGAAGGTTTTTTACCTTGATGTAGAAAACGGTTTAGTAAACTTGATGTACCGTGCATTAGATTTCGAACTGGCCACGTGAATAGCCAAAATAACTGAACGATTGACAGTAATGTTACGCGATGTCTTGGATATAAAGGAGCGTTGTCAGTGTCTCAGCCTCAGAAGTAGGGGGTCGTCCGGGATCATGGATCGACAACCAAGCCGGCTTACGGATTTCGTCCAACGAATACTGCGTGAGACCGATGGGTGGTGTTCCAAAGTAAGAAAGTTAGAACAATCGGGCATTTATGGGCAATTAGACGATCAAACGTCTAGTATGAAGCCTGAGGTCACGTGGCGTAAAATTTTCAGCTAAATTTAGCGGGGAAACTGTGGGAAAAAGGGAAGGTGTAGAGGAGGAGGGGAGGGTAGGGAGGAGGAGAATGGAAGGAGGAAGAGTAGGGGAGGAAAGAGGAGGAGAAGGAGGAAAGGAGGGAAGGACGAAGAGCAGAGGAGAAGTAGAGGGTACGGAGGAGGAGGAGAGGCATACCCTCCCCTCCGTACCCTCCCCTCCTCCTCCCCAAGAGCTGCGCTCTAATTTCGCGTTACAGAGACGTCTCATTTTTTTACACTGCATTTATAAGGTTAAAAGGATGCTGAACCGAAATCTGGATTCCCCAAAACACGCGGCCGAAAGCGTGCAACGGGATGCTACAAACACCAAAACATCACTCAAACAGCGATATCTCGAACGGATGACCGTATTTTAAAAAAAAAAGAGGCGCATTTGGCAGGAATGTTGACGTCATGTTTCTCCGAGAAGGAGAGGGAACGGCCTCGCGTCTTCTCCGCCTCGCGGCCTTGAGGGAATGAAGCGAAAAGAGGAGGAAACAAGTATCTTGACGGTCACGCGGCTCGTCGGCCTGGTTCCACCTCGACTTCTTTTTCCAAAAATACGGCCGTCCATTTGAGATATCGCCTTACTAGTAGTGTTGTAGGGATTGTAGCGTCCCGCCTACATATCCAGCATAGTATTTTTTAAATCCAAATTTCGGTTCACCATCCCTTTAAACGATTTACTCGGAATTTCTGTTCGAAAGTGCCACAGGAGCCTGAAACCCTCGTTTCTTATCTGAAAGTGTCGGGGATTAAAACAAAAATATTTTTTTTCTCTAATATAAGCCAGCTGGCGCGGTATGACATGTATTGAGCTACTCACAGAACAAGACAAGTCGCAGCGTTATCTTGCCTCCGAAGGCTTGCCTGACTTTAGTTACAAACTCATTGGTCTCAGTGTGCGAGTCCAGTCGGGTGCTGAATGCGCACCTCGTAATTACATCCAAAGAGTAGTTTCCGTAAAACCTGCAACCAGTGAGAGAAAAATATTTGAGGGATATTATTCGCATCCGCTAGAACTATAATAATTCATTAGGACTTTTAAACTGAAATTCGTTCGTTCTTCCCCATACAACAGAAGGAAAGAACGTATTTCTGAAGGCAAAATGTTAAGGCGGGAGCTGCAGGGGATTCACATCAAGCGTAGATTGCAGATTGCTTGGAAACTGCGCAGAAGAGTCCGATCAGGTACAGATCACCAGGTGATAGTCTTCACACAAATGCAAGTTTTATTAAGTTCAAAGACAGAACTAGGTTTCCCTATGTGCATGTCATATGAATCGAAATAAGTTTTTACGTATTCATCAGTTATTTTATCTGCTTCCATCCCTGAACGATACACTTCGTTATCCCTTTGCGTAACTGTACACGCTCTGAACTGTTTGTGAAGTAATACAGAAGCCGTCATTTTCTCCAAGTTATTCTTACCGGGAGCCACCCAGTTCCACTGATCGTAATATTGCCGCGCGCGCAGCTGGCCAAATAGGCAGCGCGTCCGTGGCCGAATGGTTATCGTGCTTGGCTCGCAAGCAAAGGGCCGAGGTTCGATGCCTGACTGAGGATGCACGTTTTTGTTGCTGCTTCTGTAAATGTCGCGTTTTGGTAAATTCGGAGCGGCGCAGGCGTCACGTAGTACTTGGACGGGGATCACGTGGTTTTGTTGACGATGGCCGGCAGTGGTCTTTTGTGGTGTGCGGGGTCCGGCATGACGGCGATTGACGTGTGGTTCTACAAAGCGCTTGTGCATTCGATGGTGCGAGGATTACAACGGACGGTACGACATTCGTTTGTGACCGTAACAGAAGTCGACGTGTGAAGTATTTCCAGTGCTTTCACGAGATCGTTCATCTCACGGCGATGAATCCGCTAAGCCTAACCTACGAAGGAACAGCTCGCAGAGCTCGCCGCTGTTCTACCGGGTCTTGTGGTCGCTTCAAGAAATTTTCAGGTTTGGTAAAAGTGCGTTCAAAGGTTTGTGTTGTAAAATAAACAGAGAGCCGAATATAATACACTGTGATTTGTGTCACATGGTGATATGTGCTAAATCCTGCTTGCACGATATTTCGCCGTGAAAAGAATGCGGTTTGTTAACCATTTTATATTTGCCTGCTCTGCCGTACGCATGACCGGTATCGCAGCGCGTTCAAAGTCAAAAACGCGATGAGTTGACAGCTTTTTCCAAACATTGGCTTTCGTTCAGTTCTGCAAAAATCAATTCACATACTGCTGTTTTCTTTTTTTAGAGCGCAGCTCTTAGGGGCCCGTTCCTGGCTTGAGCGGCGTCGGCGTCGGCGTAACCAAGGTCACCCCAAGGTCACGCGGCCCCAGGGTCATCCCAAGGTCAGGTGACCCCCAAGGTCACCCCCAAGGTCACGTGACCCCCAGAGGTCACGCGACCCCTCCCCCAGGGTCACGTGACACCAAAAGTCACGTGACCCCCCCAAAGTCACGTGACACCCCCGAGGTCACGTGACCACCCCCAGGGTCACGTGACCCCCCGCCGAGGTCACGCGACGACCCCGATGACGTCAACGTCACTGATGACGTAACCGGCATCCGCATCGTCATCGTCATCATCACTGATGACCTCACCGGCATCCGCATCGTCATCATCACGGATGACGTTATCAGTGACGTCACTGATGACGTCACCGACATCCGCATCGTCATCGTCATCATCGCTGATGACGTCATCGGAGTCCGCATCGTCATCGTCACTAATGACGTCATCAGTGACGTCACTGATGACATCATCGGCATCGTCACGTGACCCCCAAGGTCACTTCACCCCCCCCCCCAGTACCCTTCCCTCCTCCTCCTCAAGAGCTGCGCTCTAATTCGGTGTTACAGGGAGTTGTAAACGGCTTTTTTTAGACGCGGATGCGTAAAACAATTTACGTCACAATTGTTATTTCATCACGTTGCGAGCGTAAATTTTTTCAATCGTCCACCGTATACAGTGGACGATTGAGATTTTTTTTTTTTTTTACAACGTATACGTTGTAAAAAAAATTAGTGCATCTGTCAATGTTAAGAATTTTTGCTTCCGTGACTGGTCTGAGCACGCCAGAGCGCTCTGAACCCAGCAGTTGTGATCGGCTAAAAAAGATCCCAAGTAGCTCTTGCGACGAGGATGGGGCGCTCTGCTGAATTATGGTCAGAGGAGAGGCGACCACCCGAATTCGCCACTAGAAACGTGACTCTGAATTGAACGTCTTTAAGGAACGCAGTGAAGTGCTATCCCTGCCTTATATCTTCTTTTAAAATGAGTCGAGTTAAGGGTTTCCGATGATGCTTAGCAAGTTTCTAATTTGAAACCTACGTTTAATTTCGCTAATTAAACGTTAATTACTAAATGTAGTTAATTACTTAGCTGATTTGTATACTATCGCAATACTTCACGTCTGCCGTGACTGGCAATTTATTCTTGGAAAGAGTTAATCTGTTTTCTCAAGCACCCTATTGTTATCGAATTTTTAAAAGCATTCGATGATACACCCGGCAGAGAATATTATGTGTCCTGTCGGGAGAAAAAAGCACAAAGACGAGCGAATAAAGATTTCTTCTTACTGTTTGAGGTCTAGTTCTCCCTCTTTTTCGGCTGTTTCTTTCAAATGTTCAGCTGTTTTCCGAGCACAGTCAGCGATCAAAAAATACATCTGTAAGAAATTGGTTTGTGAGTTGGAAATAGAATATTTCCTGTGAAAAAAAAGCACAATTCGTTGTTTGAAATATCAGACATTGAAATGTGGATGAACCGACAACAAAGTGGTCAAACAAAATAGATCCTAGTTATTCATGGACAAAAGCATAATACTTATGTTGTAGACAGAATGCTAAAAGTTTGCCCGTCTTTTGTCAGATGAGTCGTTCATGTTCCAACGAGGAAGGCACGCCTCTCTTAAGATTGAAGCATTTTGCTCTTTAAAAAGCCACTGAAAAAAACAACAGTCTGGTTGGGACACGCGTGTCAAAAAAGGAATATTCCACGATTTTTTATATTTTTTTCACCAATATTGACGGCGCGATATTTATTTTGGTTGCGTCTGAATGGTGGGCGAAAAGTCCTTGACGGTCACGGAATGGCCATACGCTCTTCCAGCTGGGCGAGATGGCCATGCACTCTCTCCGCCTCAACGTGGTGACCACAGCTTCGTACCTCTTCTCCAAGCGCCTGAAATGCCGAGTGAGAAAACAAGTGGAAAGGAGGTGACTTCCGACTACACTGCGTCTCGCGCTGTCAAAATTATGCGACTTTTTTTTTTTCGCGTAAAAATTATTTTTTGACACGCTTGTCCCAACCAGACTGTTTAAAACAAGACATTTTCTTTTCAGTGGCCCTTTAAGTTGATGTCTCTCTGTCTCACTCGGTTGTTTGACTCGAGACACAACGAAATCTCGCTCCTATTGTCGATTCCGCGTTCATACGACTTTACCTCACTACTGTGTAAAAAAAAACAAGATTTAACATTCTAAAGAACGATTAAACTTTTCCTTATGCTTCTTATTACAAATTACACCAGAATGGTGACTTCGCTTGCACACTAATATTACAAGGTGTTCAATAGTGTTTAGTATTCTCTCCTTGCGGTGTCATTCTGGCTTCACAGAGGATCAGAGCGGAATATCATGTGACCATCAAGATATTGTAAAAACGCAGGTGGCTTTGCCATCTTTCAGAGAGGATACCAGCCATGTAACCATAGATAGATTGATGCAGTCGATAATAATTAGGAAAAATAATCTAGACCAGATTAACATTCTGTACAAGGACTAAGAAAACTAAAAGGTTTACTCGGAAGTTGTAGTGTGCGTTAGTGTTAAAGGAGATTAGTCACTCGCATTGCACATTATAAAACACGTGTACATGAATGCACCGTAAATACATCACCCGAGCATTTTAGGGAATTACACGTGCACGACCCAACGCGTACATAAAAATAGTGGAAAAATATAAAAGCCTCAATACGAAATACGTAAATCAGTCCTTTTAGTTTTCACATATATTCTCAACAAATGGAAGGCCACGTAGACCTAAAGCGCGAGGCACTTTTGTATAGAAGCTAAACGACAAACGGAAATAGGAGCCACGGTCTCGAGTTCTTCCAAGTGCTCAGTCCGTGGGGGCTAAAAAAAGTAGTGAAATGTAAATGACAGGAAAAAAACAAAACACAACTATTTGACCAAATGAATTGACCAAGTTTGCCAGGGGGGGGGGGGGGGGGTATGTAGCGTGCATTTGATGATTCATATGCCGGGACAACCGTGCTGGCGCAAGTGCTCGTAGCTAGAGCGCGGCGAGCCTAAGCTCTTGCGCCAGCATGGTTGCCCCGGCATATGAATCATACAATGCACGCTAGAATATCTTTAAATAAATGATACATTTTCATTAATCTCGAATAATGCCGGAAGTTCCCAAGCGAATATCAAAAACCTTGCATGGAATATATAGGTCAATAGTGACAGATGGGCCAGTTGGTACATGACTTATTTTCACAAAATGCGCCGCAAGACGTCAGAGTAAGCGGAACAACACGAAGCGCTACTTTCAACTGAATGTTTATTGAAAACACACTATTTATATACCCCAATTGGGCTTCTCAAGTAAGAATTCAATTTCTTTGTCTGTCAGATGCACTGACGGGCACTAATGCGCTTGTCATCCCCCTGCATTCTAATGTTAAATGACTCGAACATCTCTCTCGAGATTTTACTTCTCAGCTTTCCCAGAATTTTTGTTTTTTTTTTTCCAGTTCCGGGGCGCAAGCGCATCTGTCGCAATGAATAGCTAAATTGCCCGAGGGGGAATTCCTTACTGATAGCGCGTGCTCTCCTGCCCTTTCATTAACGCATCTGCCCGTTTGGCCCACGTACCCTTTTCCGCATGTCATTGGAATTTCGTATACGACCGAAGATGCGCATTCCACGAATTTTCTAAAGTGCTTCTTTCTGCAAACGTCACCTCCGTCTTGTTTATTGTTAATTCTTTGGCACAGGCTGGACAGCTTTTCCGGGGCCGAGAACCCAACCGGCAAATCAAAGTGTGCCGCCACTTTTTTTAGGTTGTGTGAGACCTTGTGTATATACGGTATAACAGCGGGTCTCACTCTCCTCCTGGGCTCCTGTGCTTCCTCTTCTTTCCTTTTCATCTTAGAAACAAGTGTATCAGCCACCTCTTGAAGAAAGCGATCAGGGTAACCTGACGATTTGAGGCGTTCCACCTGGTTGCAAAAACTACTTTTCACGGCGTGCTGGCACGACTTGGCCAACGATGCCTTCAATAGGGAGGAAGCGATCCCTCTCTTAACCAGCTTAGAGTGTGCTGAATTAAAGGGCAGGACCGTCTTCTTTGAGCGTGGTCGGTACTTCCAGCACACGTGCTCCTCTTGAAAATCTAAACTTAAATCCAGGAATTGCAGCTTTCCTGACGCCATTGTTTCGTGAGCGAGCTTTAGTCCTCGCGAATTTAAAAAGAAAATTCCGAGCACTCTTTTAATGAGATTATCATCCAACACAGTGGGCTGCGGTACCAGCACCAGAAAGTCATCCACGTATCTTAGTATTTAACATCCCCCTTTTCCTTGAGACTGCTGAGTACTTCCCGGCCAAATCGCGCCAAAAAAATGTCGCACAGTACGGGGGCGACTCGTGACCCAATGCAGATCCCATGCTTCTGAACATACAAGTCACTTTCAAAAGACACAAAGGTAGAATCCAGGTAACATGTGAGCAGTTCTATAAATGAGTCCACACTAAGCCCCACTAGAGTTCCTAAACGCAATCTCGTCGTTACGCTCTATGCACTCTCTAACCGCAGAGAACAATTCATCATGCCGTATGAAATAAAACAAGTCCCCTACATCGATGGAGAACCCGCCCGAGTAGAAAACATCAGCAGACAAGCACTGGACGGCCACCTCTGAATTACGATTCAGAAACGGATCGTTTAAATCAAGACCCGCAAGCTGCTTGCCCAAGAACCCCCTGACTTCACGTTGCCATGAGTCCCTTTCCGACACTATCACCCTAAATGGAATATTAGCTTTATGGGTTTTGACAGTGAAAAACACTTCCAGGCTAAGCTTCTTGGAAGCCTGAACCCTTTTCGCCAGGCTGTTCAATTCAAGACTTTCACAAATTTGCTTGGCTGCTGTCTTAATCTTGATAAGTGACACAATTTCACCTTGCCTGAAGTTCTTGATAGCCGCCCGCGACTTCTCCCAGAGGGGGAATTTAGCAATGAATAGCTAAATTCCCCCTCAGGCAATTTAGCTATTCATTGCGACAGATGCCCTTGCGCCCCGGAACTGGAAAAAACAGAAATTCTGGGAAAGCTGAGAAGTAAAATCTCGAGAGAGATGTTCGAGTCATTTAACATTAGAATGCAAGGGGATGACAAGTGCATTAGTGCCCCGTCAGTGCATCTGACAGGCAAAGAATTTGAATTCATACTTGAGAAGCCCGATTGGGTATATAAATAGTGTGTTTTCAATAAAAATTCAGTTGAAAGAAGCGCTTCGTGTTGTCTCACTTACTCTGTCCTTGTCTTCCGGCGCATTTTGTGAAAATAAGTCATGTACCAACTGGGCCATCTGTCACTATCGACGCAGTTTATTTCTTCTACATCGGGCTCTGTATTAACTCTTAACAGTAACAAACCGTCTGTGGGAATCCTGCATGTCAATCTTCTAGCAGCTTCCACCTGCAGGGCGAGGAATTATGCTTACGCTATACGTACGGGACGATACCCACCGGAAATAACAGGGCTGTTCGGGGGTATGCTACCGTGGGCGGGGCACGCAAAAAGGATGTGCCGAATCATGCGCTCAGAGATGTGGAAACAAGTCGGATGGTATCGAGACTGTCTGCGGATGTGGTGCCACCAGTCAAGTCCCAACGAAGTCCCAACGAAAGGTCTGCTGAGAAAGCCTACGGGGAACACCTTCGGCTGGCTTCGCAAGTGACGGAGTTCATGTGGGAGAGCCTCAGGGCTACCCTACCCAAGAAGAAGAACGTATACGCGCTCCAGCTCCCAGCCCGGTTCTTTTCTGATGGAAGCGTTGGCGCCGAAGAGTGTGACAGATGTGCTCCAAAGAGGACCCAAGTACAGTCTCCCACCGAACCCCAACCTGATTGAGAAGCTGTGCATTGCAAGAGCTCTGGTAGATAGTCACGCCACAAGAAAGAGAGAGGTGCATCTCGGAGGCCGTCGACGTCCTGAGATAAAAGTCGGGCGGGCAAAAGAAGGCACCAAGGACGGGACCAGTGGTTTCTTACTTTCAAGAGGACAAGTTCAAGCTCCTGACCGCCGATAAGGAGGGCGGCTTCGTCGTTATCTGTGAGGGCCTCTTCGGGGAGAAGTCACGGGCGGCTATCCAAAAGAACTTCAGGCAAGTTAAAAATGTGTCACTTAACAAGATCAAGACAGCGGCCAAGCAACTTTGTGAAAGTCTTGAATTGAGCAGTTTGGCGAAGAGGGTTCAGGCTTCCAAGAAGCTTAGCCTGGAAGTGTTTTTTTACTGCCAAAACCCATAAAGCTAATATTCCATTTAGGGTGATAGCGTCGGAAAGGGACTCATGGCAACGTGAAGTCGGGGGGTTCTTGGGCAAGCAGCTTGCGGGTCTTGATTTAAACGATCCGTTTCTGATTCGTAATTCAGAGGCGGCCATCCAGTGCTTGTCTGCAGATGTTTTCTACTCGGGCGGGTTCTCCATCGATGTAGGGGACTTGTTTTATTCCATACGGCATGGCGAATTGTTCTCTGCGGTTAGGGAGTGCATAGAGCGTAACGACAAGATTGCGTTTAGGAACTCTAGTGGGCTTAGTGTGGACTCATTTATAGAACTGCTCACATGTTACCTGGATTCTACCTTTGTGTCTTTTGAAAGTGACTTGTATGTTCAGAAGCATGGGATCTGCATTGGGTCACGAGTCGCCCCCGTACTGTGCGATATTTTTTTGGCGCGATGTGGCCGGGAAGTGCTCAGCAGCCTAAAAGAAAAGGGGGATGTTAAGATACTAAGATACGTGGATGACTTACTGGCGCTGGTACCGCAGCCCACTGTGTTGGATGATAACCTCATTAAAAGAGTGCTGGGAATTTTCTGTTTAAATTCGCGAGGACTAAATTTCACTCACGAAACAATGGCGTCAGGAAAGCTGCAATTTCTGGATTTAAGTTTAGATTTTCAAGAGGAGCACGTGTGCTGGGGAGTACAGACCACGCTAAAAAAAAAAAAAAACGGTCCTGCCCTTTAGTTCAGCACACTCTAAGCTGGTTAAGAGAGGGATCACTTCCTCCCTTTTGAAGGCATCGTTGGCCAAGTCGTGCCAGCACACCGTGAAAAGTATAGTTTTTGCAACCAGGCGGAATGCCTAAAATCGTCGGATTACCCTGATCGCTTTCTTCAAGAAGTGGCTGAAACACTTGTTTCCAAGATGAAAAGAAAAAAGAGGAAGCACAGGAGCCCAGGAGCCCAGGAGGAGAGTGAGACCCGCTGTTATACCGTAAATACACAAGGTCTCACACAACCTAAATAAAGTGGCGGCACACTTTGATTTGCCGGTTGTGTTTTCGGCCCCGGAAAAGCTGTCCAGCCTGTGCCAAAGAATTAACAATAAACAAGACGGAGGTGACGTTTGCAGAAAGAAGCACTCTAGAAAATTTGTGGAATGGGCATCTTCGGTCGTATACGCAATTCCAATGACATGCGGAAAAGGGTACGTGGGCCAAACGGGCAGATGCGTTAATGAAAGGGCAAGAGAGCACGCGCTATCAGTAAGGAATTCCATTTCGGGCAATTTAGCTATTCATTGCGACAGATGCCCTTGCGCCCCGGAACTGGAAAAAACAAAAAAATTCTGGGAAAGCTGAGAAGTAAAATCTCGAGAGAGATGTTCGAGTCATTTAACGTTAGAATGCAGGGGGATGACAAGTGCATTAGTGCCCCGTCAGTGCATCTGACAGACAAAGAATTTGAATTCTTACTTGAGAAGCCCAATTGGGGTATATAAATAGTGCGTTTTCAATAAACATTCAGTTGAAAGTAGCGCTTCGTGTTGTCTCACTTACTCTGTCCTTGTCTTGCGGCGCACTTTGTGAAAATATATAGGTCGTTTATTTTTTCTATCGCTTCCACCGAATTAAGTCGTCTGATGCAATTGTTCTAACGCTCAGAACACCAGTCTGCTTTCATCGAAGAATCAAAATAATACACGTGACTGTACAGTGCTCAACGAAATGACAAAGACCAAAGGAGCGCTTGACGTCGCTAGTCGAATTGCATATGCTCCGCTCGAGGAACACACACAATTGTTCTAGCGTATGCAGCTAGCATGCATACAGTTAGTCTAACGTAGAGTAACCATAGGGTTCCACCTTTTAATTACTCTAGGCATTACTCGAGTATCTTTATGTGATCGAGGCCACGCTCGTCGGTTTCGTTTCGTTGAGCGCTGTACTCGCAGCATTGCGTTTCGAAATGACGAGTATTGTAGGGAACGCTAAGTTACTCGTATTAAAAATGGCCCCATTCTGTGGCCACACGGGTTTCGAATCCTTTCTTTTACCTTTCCACCTGTTATTTGCCCGGAAATACACTCTTCATGTATGCGCGCTGCTCTGGGACAGCTGTGTTAATTCCGGCAGTCATTCTCGCAACACCTTTGATCTGCTCTTACCTCTAAGACGTCTAGTCAGTCCACATTTTGTAGCAATTTAGCAGACACCTTGTTTACGCGCACCATAATAATTAAATTCGTTCGACGCAAGAAAAAACAAAACATTAACACCTCTAACCATTACGGCAACCATAAAGAAATTAGGTTTATAAAAAAGATTTTGAACTGGGTTTATAAAATTCCAAAAGTTGTGAATCACGGCAAAAAAAAAAAAAAACATATTCTTGAAATTTGAAAAGGGTATGACCTAAGACGAAACGTTTGACATTTGATACATGGCTCTTGTAAAAGTTTATCTTTCTGGAAGAAAACCGAAACACTCAGAAAGTCAAGTAGGGTGTTTCTTTTTGAAAATTGCGCAGCATGTTTTAAAAGTAGACAACTGGAACGACGCTAAAAACGGCAGTGTTCTTTATTTTTTCTATTTTTTTTTTGTTCGAGAATTATTTAACATGAACGTGCGGTATTTCATTCAGGAAGAAAATAAATTCCACAAAAATAATCTAAAAAAAAAATTGGTCACCACCGCAATGACATGTTCCAATCGCCGACATGCTGGGCTCATAGGGTTATTATAATGTAGGCTAGAGGTTCAAGTGGCGTTACTGTGCTGTCGCAAATTGAAGCAGACAGGAAACCCGTCCAAAATTGATTTCCGGTAATGCACTTCTATGGGAAAAAGTGAGCGCATTTTCTCCATGCGCTCGATCATAAGAGCAAATATTCCGAATAATTCGTACGTACTAGGAAGCTTGGAACATTTCTGAGTCAGGCCGACGGAATAACTGGTAAGTTACGACGTTTTTCTTTCAAATTGATTGCATTAAAAATGGTGCTAAAACGGCTTCATACGTGTATTTATGTGCGCTGTTGGACACTGTTAGCGCGAACACGACGTCGGCGCTTTTCAGAATGAGGGATATACGTGCCAAACGAACGAAGGACTTCTCGGAATTAAGGGAGACGGCAAGAACTGCGCAGTAACACTGGATCAGTAACTCCCCGCGCATGAACGATCAAAATAAATTGAAGGCCACGTAATATATTCCGATTTTAAATGGGTAAGTACCGCTTTATTCTTTCTGCTCTGTGCGAACTTCTACGTTCAAAATATCACCAGGACGATCGAAACCTTTGAGAATAGGTGCCCGATAAAAGTTGCCCGGCAGAAAAAACAATACGAAGAGACACCTTTCATAGCCCACGTGCTTAATTATTTACGTTTTGAATGTTTTCATCCACTCATGCACGACGGGGTCATTTTCGCATAGTGACAGGACTGGCGAGCCTTGAACACACTCTATATTCCTTACGATTGTTATTTTGGTTTGAATCGTCGCTTGTTTTTACATACGTGCTGCGAAACACACATTTGGATTGAAATGTAGCGAAGTTAAACATCGTTCACTAATAAAGGCAAATGCGCCAACTAAAGTAATTACACTTTTACAATGTTAATCAAGGTACATACTATTCGGTACGACCCAAATAACCAAAGTGCTTCGTGTTATTTTCTGGCGAAGAGACAAAATGCACGCACGTTTTCCCATAGGAATGCACAGGAGCACCGCGAAAGTAAACCGGTTGCTGTCTGCTTCAATTTGCGTCACAGAAGTTGCATAGACACTAGCGCCAGTTGAACCTCTAGCGTACATTATAGTAACTTTATGGCTGGGCTACAAAAGCACCAAGCCTGACGTTCGTCCCGTTCTGCGTCCGTCGTCAAAATGTTCAAGGATGCTGTCCACAACCTCCAAAGGAGAAGGATGACACCTTGGAATTTCTAAAATTAAAAAAAAAACACACACACACGCTGGAACACACTTCTGACGAACGTCTAAGCTTAAACTTAGATTGAGCGCGTTGGTAATAGATTTAAAAATACGAAAGAGTTAGACAAAGAGGACGGACAGGACAAACATCTTTCGAAAGATGTTTGTCCTGTCCGTCCTCTTTGTCTAACTCTTTCGTATTTTTGAGTCTAACCCTACTTTATGCACACATGGTTTTCTGTTTGTTTTTCAGCGGAGCCTCGAGATCGAAAACGCTCTGCAGTCAGGTCTGGTTAATATGGTCTCCGTTAATATGAATACCCCACTATAGAGTAAAAATATTCGGGGACGAACTGGCTATACATACATTTTAGCCTCATTATCACGAGCAACTCACATTATGGAAGTTCTTTTGGGGAATGTAGCGTTAACTTTACATGACTGTATCCCAGTTGTAACCGCACAAACCTTGCGAAGCTTTCCCGTAGAAAACGCTGGGCTTGCTGCTGGGCGGATCCTCCTCCATTTCTCAGCAGGTGCAATGGTCAGCATGTTGTCCAAAAGTGGATCGAAGAAGTTGATAATCTGCGCATGAGATTCTCAATTACAACCGCCTCACCAAGCATCCAAAGGCTGTACAACAACGAAAGCCACAATTCGAGCGTTTCCGAGTTCATGCAATTGTTCCCTTGGACTTGCTCGCTCTCCGAGTGAAATTAAGTATAAATATAGAGGCGTGGTGAGCTGGGCTAGTAGGTAAGCATTATACATGGTTAAAGTCAGCGAGCAACCTGAGGAAACTGTAGATGGATACAGGAAAACACGCATAGTGTCGTCGGTAGCGCCACATCCTCAGTGAAATCTTTTTTTGCGAAAGTTGATTGTGCCATGGGAGATGTCCTTGGACTTCATGTGAAAAACGTGTTTCGCTATCTTGACGACGTTGTGCTTCTGCTTGACAATCGCCTGGGGAAAGATCTAGTCACCAGTGTTACGGATATTTTTTTATAAGCGTAGTTTTGGTCTTAGATTCACCTATGAAGTGCCCAAGGAAGGTGTCTTACAATTTCTGGACCCATCACCCTCACTTCAGACTAACCATTTATGCTTGTCCTCCCCACGTTCAATAAAGGGTATGTTAGGTTACTCCTCAGCGCACTAAAGAAATATTAAAAGAGGTAAATCTCTTTCATGTCTAGGATCAGCACTAAAAAGTCACGTCTAACCAACATTAATCACAGCTTCAGGTCTTAGATTGAGAGACTCCGGTCATCTCGGTTTCCGTGACTGGTGCGAAATGAGGTTGTGCGGTCCTTGGGTAAAAAAGTAAAATGAAAAGAAAGCAGTAAGCGCAATGTTGAGAAGAAATCTGTGGTAGTGGTTTTATACTTGCACAACGTATCCGAAAACTTAGAACAAGTCGCCCAAAGATATCAAGTTCCAGTTGTTTCTTAGGCACCTCAAAAGTGACCCTGGTTTGTTCCAAGCTGCACTTAAATTTAGAAAAAGTATCCCGAGTGTAATTTAAAAAGAAACAGGCTATAGAGTTTGTGCCTTGTACCTCGCGCGTGGTGTACAGCATTTCTTTAAAATGTGGTAGAACGTACCTTCGACAGACAGAAAGATGTATTAATGATAAGCTATATCAGGGGTGGACAGGCTGACCCGGCCTGAGAGCCGCAAACAAAACCACGAAACATCCAAGAACCGCAAGGGGGGGGGGGGGGGGGGGGGGGCGACGGCAAATTTTAGTTTAGAGCAATAAGCGAAATTCGAGCTACTTTGAGTCTATCCAAGTCAAAAGCAGTCCAACTGTACGTAAAGTAGCAGTAGCACAAGACAACCAAACCGCAACCTGTATTTCGATTTAAAATACGTTCCAATTCTCTTTTTGGGGAAGTATTCATACAACCGGGAGGGAGGCGGGGGTGTGGGGAAGGAGGGAGGGTAGGGGAGGGAGCCGTGAAGAGCCGCATGCGGCTCGCGAGCCGCAGTTTGGCCACCCCTGGGCTATATGAACACAGCGTGTCTATGAGGTCAAGTGGGGGGTCACTTGCCTCTACGCTGTCAAGCCTGCAGATGTAATCCAAATCTGGCCAGCACCGCTATCATCGGTCGATATAAGGAAAACTCTCGTGATACATTTACGTGGCGCATATTATACAAAGTCTGGGGGAGCACTGCTTGAGCCATCTTTCCGTTACACTATCTGAAAAGGAAGTTTTGGTTTTAAACGTTTTGATGCGCTAAAGCCATCTCCCCCTCGTGCCATGAGCCTGTTGATTCATCTTCTTTCTTCTCTTCTGGATGAAATATAGAGTTGTGAGTTCAGCGTCCGTCCTGTATTCTTCTACAGTTCGCTCACGTTGCTGGCTGACTTTGACCATGTAGGAAGTATCAAGTTTCACAGAAAGCACTCCAAAATAATGTTTTCGTTCCAATCAATATTTGCTTGTGTTGCGAGGTACTGGTACTGGCTAGTGCACACACTACGCGCCAGAATTAGTGGCACAAAACAATTTCATTTAGTGTGCGGTTGTGCACTGTAGAGTTGTTTTTAATTCTAAGTGCTCAACTTAGAATTACGTTTCTGGTAGTGCCTTCAGAAAGACTACTGTTTTAGTTCTTGTTTCAAAATATGTGCTTTATGCAATTTGCACAGTAAATTTGCGGAATTATCTACAGCGCGTGTCACTCGCGACTAATATTGATTCTTAAAAGAAATGAGATGTAAAATAAATAAATTCTTCTTTCAGCAGAAGGCCATCGACCGTAGCAGATGTCACGGTAGAAGTGTAAAGTGAATATTCGCGAAATAAGTGTTCGAAATCTACTAGTTAACTGTTTTAAATATGCGCGTTAACTGATACTTTCCCGAGCTTTGTTTCCGGAACTTAGAATATGCCGCAGCATTTTTTAGAGGTCATAAAACCAAAATGCTATGTAGCAAGGGTTGTAGTTGGGTGGCAGAGGCCAATGTCACAGCTTCTTTTTTTTCGTCCTGTTTCATCATCTCACTCTCCTCTACGCCTAAATTTGCCAGAGAATAGCGTGCAGCAAAATTCATATCGACAAATATTTTTTGAGCTCCTACCAACAACCTAGTGGCCTTGGCTGCAGTACTCTGTCATAAAGTCAGAAATATATACACTAAAATCAAACAAAAATGTCTTCGCAAACAAAAAAAGGCATATGTTTGTTGCATGCGTGTTATAGGGCAGATGGACAGCTCATCAGGATAAAAAGTGTATCGAAACTTGGGTGTCAGCCTGGATGGCACACAAAACCTCAACGCCATCAACAGCTGCGCGCAATCAACAGAAGCGCGCAGAACTTGGTGCTGAAAATGCATCTCTCTCGTAATTTTTATATCATCCAGTGACTCCATGCCGAAGTTAACCAGGAGAGAATATAGTTGTAAAAACTACTGCGGCCAAAGTTTCTATCATACAAAAGTCGTATCAACTTGCGCCGGATACTTTCAAGTAGGTAGCTCTGCGACATTGCCATAGAGTTCCATACCACAGACGTGAACTCAAGACGCGATCTCACAAGCGTACAGGCTTGACCAACACTCAGAGTGACGAAAGTTTCTCGTCATTCGCGAAATTTCACCCGGAGGGGGCAGTCCCTCACCAACAATCAGAGGACCATACAGGCCAAGATTCAAATCAGAATCTACAAAAGTACCACAATCCCGAACATGAAGCTCTCACCGTATATGTTTATAAAACAGTGTATTGTCAAAAAATGCCCTCTCTTTCGTCCTAGTAAGAAATATTACACCGTTTTTTTAGATTTAATTGTAGTCTATTTATGAAACACCATTGCTCAACGGAGCGGATGTCATTTTGCATATGAATAGAGCCATTGACATTTTCAACTTTACGAAACAATTTTAAATCATCAGCGAACATTCTAATTTCTGAGTTTTCAATACCCAGGACGGTAAATCATAAACAAATAACAAAAACAAGAGCGATCCCAGGTTAGAACCTTGTGGAATGGTTCGGATACACAGCTCTAACGTTATCTATCCGACTTCCGAATTATCTCTCAAACCATGCCCAATACAACGGGCATAATTCAAACTTTTTTTTTTAATTTCGAAGTATTTGGTGGTGAACGTCATCGAATGCCTTGGTCATGTCAAAATAAATCGTGTCTACATGACCCCGGTTAAATACAACAGGTCCACTATATTCGAGGAAAGCAGATACATTTGTTTCGGCTAATCTGCCTTTTAGAAATCCGTGTTATAAATGCGAAATTTGTTGCCTAAAATTGGCATGCAATCGTTCATAAACCGCCATTTTAAAAACCCTGAAAGGCCACAGGGAAGGAACACTGTACGGAAGTTATTAGCATCGTAATGATTCCCAAACTTAAATACTGGTATAACAACTGAAATTTTCGGAGGAGAAGGGAAGGTCCCATTTTTCAAAGACAAATTAAATACATGCCTCAGAAAAGGTTCAAACATTGCGGCGCATCCTTTGATAATAAAATTTGGAATGTCATCACAGCCCGTTGATAATTTTGGTTTCAACTTCTGCACAGAGCACATCACCTCATCGTCGGTCAATCTATGAAATGACAAGCGGTCGGCAAACTCTTCCATTGTGATAACAGTGGGCGTAATATGAGGTTTCGCATAGCAAGAGAAATTTGCTGAACGAATGCTTGGCACACTTCTTGGAGTTTATAACAGATCTCGTCGCCAGTTTTCAGCACAGCGGTGCTGGCCACGTCTTTAGTTTGTGACCATGCGTAACGCCAAGAGCGACTAGGTTTCGTTTTAAAATTATTTCCTTCATGGTTGTGATCATCCTCTTCATCCCGAGAATAAAGCTTCATAACTATTGCTCCGCAAATTGAAAATATCTGACACTAATACTCAATTTTTTTTTTGTTGTTTATTTATAACTCGCGGTACCGCTGCTTTTTGCGCATGTAATTCTTTAAGTCTGACGAAAACCAACTAGGAAATTTCGACTTCCTTGAACGGTGTTTGAGTATAAATTCTTCCCTTGTGCTGTCCAGTTGATAATAAAAAAAATGTAACACAAGAGTCGACGTCATTGAGGCAGAAAGGGAAGACCAATTATAGTTTCAAAGACGATTGTATAGGCCCAACGAATTTTGGTTCGGCCTGCTCTCGTTTTAGAAAAAAAGATAAAGTAAATGGAGGGTGGAACTTGCCGACAGGAACAAGTGCCTCACGCGTTTCATTCACATGAAATAAGGGCACATTTGATATCATTAAATCTAAAACATTTCCAGCACAGGTTTCTATTGTAATATGCTGACAAAGTCTGTTAAAATTGACGAAATCTGTTAGGCACTCTACTTTTCGACGTAGTGCATCGCAGTCATTTGGAGCAGAGTCCGTAATCCAGTCAACGTTTGGAAGATGGAAATAACCGTAGATGTGTACCTTGTATTTCGTAAAGTCAATTCGGTTTTCAAGGTCTCAATATGGTTGACAAAAGTACCAACATCAGAATTTGGCGGAAAATAGTAACAAACAACCAGGCAGTTGGTACCATCTTTCGCCGGTATTTCTAACCAAACGCATTCCCCATACGACCCAAGGTCCTTCCGCCTGAGCAGATTCAAATCAGACTTGCATGCTATAAGGGCCTACGTATCTAACCGATTCACTGTAGTTTCTGTCTGCCCTGAAAACGAAAAATTGATTTGAAAAATAGAAACTGCTTGCATAGGATTCAATTAGGCACGTTTCAGTCAAGCGAATGATATAACAATCACAAGCAAGTGCATTAGCAAAAAAAAGTAATTCGCTTTGGTGCGAAAACCTTTAGAATTTTCATAATACAAGTTATTTGTTCGTGCCATTGTGGGGTATAGCTGGGTCAGAAATATGCTCCTCAAAGTGCCGGGTAGGCGACAGTTTTACATAAAAAGGTCGAAAAACAGAGCCAGCAGTACAGACTAGATGTTTGTTTACGAGTTCAAGCAATTCCTTATGCAAAGAAATGTGGAAAGAACTGTAGTTTGGCGCACATGACGGTCTTTTCCTTAACAGCCCCCCGCTAGAAGCTCTCGAACACCTGAAGCAGTGGTGTCTGAAGCCAGACAAGAAACAAAGAGTCTCTGCCGACGGCTTTGATGCGACTTTTAGGACGCACTGTTTTGCCGTACCAATCGTGGACGGAGATCTCAATGTCTGCCTCTCCGAGTGGGATGGGCGGGGCTGGAACACGCGTTGACGACGTGCAGGAGACTTGGGTCGCGGAAGAAACAATTGGGTCTTGCGCCATCGCCCATGGCAGTTGGGGTTAATAGCTAAAGCGAAGCTCCCCGTCGATGAAGCGGTGCCTTGTTTCCTGATGGGCAGCACTTGGAAACCCGCTCTCTCCAACATTTCTTCGCGGTATTCAGATATTCGTGAATCCTCGAGAGGCGTGTCACTTTGTAGTGAAGCGATACATTATTAATTTGCATCTCGTAAGGACGGTGGTCGCCAATAGCAGCGCTTGGAAATTTGCTCTCCGAAGGACATCTTCACGTAGGTCACGCACTTCGTCGCGACGTGAGACTATGAGGTACAGTGCGCTGTGAAGTTGCACTTAACACGTAAAGTATGAGAGGATATGAAAGACAGATAAGGACATGACGTATACTTGCGAAAGCGCAGACAAACAACTGTTTATTTTCGTCTCTTCTTCCTTTTATATATACCCTCGTTTTGAAGGATGAAGATTGCCCGATAATTCACGGAATTGAAAATTAATGTCTTCGCGGGCCACCGTAGACATAGGTGTTTTAGAAAACGGAGGAATTATGGAGTTTTAGATGACATGTGTGTACCTGAGAAATCGTGGAAAGGACTGGGACGATTAATGTCTTTTCTGTCATTTGTAGACAGTTGACATTGGTGCTGTGTGTTTTCATGCTCTTGGCCTCCTGGAGCTGATGTTTGCCCTGTTATGCTGCGGGATCGTTTTAAGCAGTTATATTTTGTTTGTTTCAAAGCTATTGAGGGTTCACTAACGCACATGCCGTGCCTTCCGGAAGCCATGTGAACAGCTTCCATGATTTCACGCTTGGTCCTGTCTCTTGATCTATCTAAGATGGTTGTCGTTCCAAGGAGAGTTTCGCAGCTGTATTTTGCACAGTGTGCTGCGAGGTTACCAGGTGCTTGCAGCTGCCCGCACGCGTATTTGTGCTCTCTTAGTCTCTCGTTTCTACATTAGGTGCCAACAACATAGACACGCACAGCACCAATGCCAAGTCTCTACAAATGACAGAAAAGACATTAATCGTCCCAGTCCTTTGCACGATTTCTCGGCTTCATACGCGTCATCTAAAACTCCAGCATTTCTCCGTTTCCTAAAACACCTATGTATAGAGTTGCCCGCGATGTCATTAATTTTCAATTCCGTGAATTATCAGGCAATCTTCATACTTCAAAACAAACCTGTAAAGAATGAAGAAGAAGAAACGAAAAATAGGCAGTTGTTAGTCTGCGCTTTCACAAGTACGCCATGTTCTTATATGTCTTCCATATCGTCTCATAGTTTATTTGTTTATGTGCTAAGTGTAACTTGGCAGCACAGTGTACCTCATAATGTCAACCCAACCAGCCCAAATCCAAGCATTCGAAGTGAGACGTTTTACACTAGAAGCTCACAAACTTCGCGTATGATTTCGTCTAATCGAAACATCGCACCATCGATCATCTAAACGACATTCGACATCGGAGTCAGCGTTCACAGGGACCCTATGAGCCGGTGAATCCTCGAGGGGCGTGTCAGCATCGGCGGTGTCGGTGGTGCAGAGAAGCTCCGCTGCTGAACAATCATGTCTCTTCGTGCACATGGGCGCATTTGTAATTGCTCGTCCCGGTTTCCACGAGCGATTTCCTATCGCTCTGCCTTAACGTCTATGCCCTTGCAACGAAACCGCTTTTTACAAGCTGCAGAAGGCAGAAACTGCGACCTAATCGGTAGAGAGCCTCGCGCACACGCGGCCGTCTCGTCCGCCATCTTCATCTTGTCTATATTCGAACCAATTTAGTATGTTTTGATGATGAACAACAAATCTGACTGAAACGTGGCACCTAGGGCGTATCCCCAAGAAACTAATGAAACATTACGTAATTAGTTCGGTTACTGCCACCTTACACTGGTACCCTGACCAATCACAAGGGTCAATAACAATTTCCCGAAAGTAGAATTTCTTTATTTCGAGCGTCTTTTTAAAAATCATTATCGGGCGTACATGAAATTAATATTAGACGTACATGATAATATACATATGCAGTTGTGGAATGTGACTTTGCTCTAATGTCTCGGTGTTAGGGAGGGAATGTTATCAGGTTTATTTTGGCTACAAAAATGAGAATATTCGAAAACAAGTTTCAATAAGTGAAAAAAAAGCCCAGTAATCAACATCGGCGTATTAACGAGACCAACAACTTAGAAAAAGGCACGTATAGCACCATTTACTCAGGAGAAAAAGCCGTTGATGTCTGTGCCATTCTCATTACGAGAAAACATTTATTTTGTGGCACTGAGCCACTTAATGTTTGCTGTTTTTTTTTGAAAATTCACTGGATAGAACGAGGCGCAATGCCTGAAACCAATTAACTAACACTCTAAATACCAAACGTATGCATCGAAAGCGCTATACAAAACTTGTTCACTTTGTTTTTATTGCGTAATTTGCGTTCCAGTGGCAAAAGAGAAGACGTATCTCAGTATACTACAGATAGTTTGTGTTCCTTGACTACTACTACTCATCCTGTACTCTGTATATAGCGACTCACGTTAAATGAGCTCTTGTTTCGTGCACGCAACTGCTTGTACAGTTCAAATATTCCACTCACCCTCCTATTTGGCAAGGAAGGGAAGTCTTTGACGAGAACGAGCCTCACCAACTCGGGATCAGCCACGAAGAGCATGGGTTTCCCGTCCTCATAGGCACTACGTGTTAAACAAAAGCAGAGGGAAAACATGTTCAGAATTTAGCTAAAAAGGACAGTCAAGAATCGGGGAAGACTCACCCGAATACCTTGCCAAATCGAAGGTACCTGTCTTGATCCCTGAGATGGGACGGCTGAAATGAAAGCGAGGGAATCACCGTTAGCTGCAAGTAACAAAGACCCGTGCACGATGGAATGGTTGCGTCTCGGAGCTATGAGGTAATACGATCCGTCGAACAAAGCCGACACTTTTAGTGCAACTGCGCCCAAAACAGCGAGGCGATCGTCTCCTTTCAACGATCGGTTTGGACTCCCCCCGCGGCTCTCGATCGTGTCGGCCGCATCCGGCGGCACGTAATCCCGGTCTCCCTTTGCTGGTCGCCCCGACGACCACCAGATGCTGTCCAAAGTTCCCGATACCCCATGCAGCGCACGTACTTAAAATTACGTGCCGGTTCCTGATAATTGTTTTGCTCCAGTAAATATGTTGTAGCTTGCGATTTGCTTATTACTTCGACATCCACTCGAAAGTAAAAATATCTCTACGAGATCATACGCCATATTACGATGTAGCAAATTTGGGTAGGAAAATAAAATCTGCGCGCACCACTGTGAGATTCGCACGAAATAATAAAATACGCGATGATTTCTTGGAGGATTGGGGTTAGAAACACTATTTTAGGAGATATAATTCAAGGTCCAAGTAAATATTGATCTTTCATGCAATGAATTGTGATTTTTTCCCGTAGTAAATACTAAAAGAAACAAAAACATGTGCATAAGACCTATAGTGAACTTCCAGACTTTCTGGAAGTTCACGAAGCAACATACACGTGACGTTAGTCCTATCATCTGCTTACGTGCCTGTTCAGATAACGCCCCGGGTTATGTTTCATCACCTCATGAAGTTGCAGATGTTTTCGCTGATTATTTTGCCAAATGTTTCTCTGACAATCAGCAATCCGTTCTACCGGAGGATAAGGAGCTGATTTGTCACGATTTTTTGAGTTCTATAAGAGTGGACTCTCTTGATATTGCCGAGGCGATAAGAAAGTTAAAACCGAAGTTTTCTTCTGGTGTAGATGGTGTACCAGGTTTTGTTATCAAAGGTTGCGGTCAGTTGTTCATTCCTATTTTGAAGCACATTTTTAATATGTCACTCAGTTCAGGCGTTTTCCCTTCGCTCTGGAAAAAAGCAGTTGTTGTTCCTATCTTAAAAACGGTGACGCATCTGTAGTTGCGAACTACCGTCCAGTTTCTCTGCTTTGTGCTTTTTCCAAGGTTTTTGAGATTGTTGTGCATAGCAGGATGACTTTTTATTTCCGTCAAAAAATAACGCCCTTGCAGCACGGTTTTTTAAAGGGTAGGTTTGTGGAAACAAATTTGTGTACCTTTTTAGATTACTGTGTGCCGTTTGTTTTAAACAGAGAACAAGTAGATGCAATATACTTTGATTTGTCAAAAGCCTTCGATAAAGTGAGTCACGTGTTGCTTTTGTCCAAGTTGCATCTGTATGGTGTCTGTACAGAATTGTGTAACTGGTTTAAGAGTTATTTGTCTTTTCGATCAAATAGTGTTCGGGTCGCTGACAGTTATTCCAAAGAGTTTTTTTCAATATCAGGCGTGCCCCAGGGTTCAATTTTGGGTCCTCTACTGTTTTCAATTTTTATAAATGATATAGCGTCATGTGTAAAGAACGTTGAACTGCTTTTGTTTGCTGACGATATCAAGTTGTTTAAGAGTGTTCACTGTCATTTAGATTGTGATCTGATACAACATGATGTGTCTAATATAGCACAGTGGTGTAAACAAAATCAGTTATTTCTTAATCCTTTAAAAACAAAAGTGATATCTTTGTGCAGACGCCGCGCGATCATAAATAACACTTATCATCTTGAGGGAAATCCGATTGAACGAGTGTCAATTGTAAGGGATCTTGGTGTGTTAATTGACTGCGGATTAACTTTCAAAAATCATGTCTCTTTTGTTGTCAGCTCTGCAATGAAAGTTCTAGGAGTTATATCGCGTTTGACCAAGCATTTTAGAAAGCCCCATTGTTCAATACATCTTTTTCAATCCTTAGTGGTTTCAAGGCTTGAGTTTGCTTCTGTGATTTGGAATTCAATTTCTGTAACACAGGCTTTGATCATAGAACGTGTGCAAAAAAGATTTGTTCGAATTGTTTATGATAGATGGATTGGACGACGCGTGTATTATGACTATGAATGCTTACTGAATAGATTTTCGCTGAAGCTTTTATCACACAGAAGAACAGTCCTTGACTTGGTATTCCTGCATAAGATCATTAATGGTGCCATTGATTCTTCATGGCTTATTAGTAAAATCCATTTCCATGTTCCTTTCCGTGCGACGAGACAGCTCACCTGTTTTGATATTTGCTCACCATGCCGTGTGTCACCTCTTTCTCGTTTACAGACATTGTATAACAGCATTGTGCCACCTCAAGTTGACATCACCACACCCCTGCCTACATTTCGCTGTCAGTTGGACGAACTTTTCGTCACTTCATAGCGCGTCAGTGTATATGCATATCTATTTCTTTTTAATGAGTAGGATTTTTGTTTAAGAGTTTTATTGTACGAGTTGGTGTACCTAAGAGAAGGCCGCTCGGCCGTTTTAGGGCACCCGAAAAATAAAGATTATTATTATTATTATTATAGCTGACAGTAATGCAATATATGTAAGTCTCATATAAACAAAATTGAAAATTCTGTGGTTATATCAGCGCGAACCTTACATTACAAGTCAATCGAAACAATCTCCCTTATCCTATACGTGTATTATACACAAAAAATACGCAAAATATTGGCCGTGCTGCGTACCACACCACTTGAAGCCATTATGTGTCGTCTAACAGAAAAAAAAAAGATATAGACCACCATGGCTAAACGTCAAATTGTGCGTTCCTTACTGAGAACAATTAATATATGTTATATGGGTGTGCCATAGGTTACTTTGGGATGTGCGTCGCACACCTGTATATGGTTCTCTTAAGGTATGAAATCATTTTTAACGGAACCCGTCTCTCCCTAAATTCAAAACGTTTGTGCGTCCGTTCGTCCGCTAATGTGATATATGCGTCAATTCATTTTCCACTATAAATTTAGCGGTAAAATTCAGATCTTGTGGCGAAAACACGAATTCAGTTTCTCCATTGAATTTAGGGGTGAAATTAAAGTCGCGACGACGTAACGTGACCTCTACACCAATCCAGCTTCCCCTTTACATTTAGTGTAAGAAATTGATGTCATGTCGCCTAAACACCAATTCAATATACGTCATGTGACAGAGCAATTTCCTCTCCCAATCCCTCTCTCCCTCCTAGGGTGTCCTTCGTAACGTGGCTAGATGATGCGAGGTAGCGACCTCCTGCCCTCGCTCAGTCGTCTGCTGGGCCAACTCTGTTCTTCCTAACTCGCCCCCCACGGCTGTGTTCTCCCGGGTTACTCCGGCGGGTCATGTGACGTGGCGATTTCGGTAGAAGAACGCTGGACGCGTGTAAGTTTTGCAACGCCGAGGTACCAAACCGTTACTCGAGAGCATGCTCGAGATTGAGTCCAATCCAGCAGGTTCTTCCTAACCGGAAATGGGAGGGCGCGTGGGCACACCCCTCGCTTTCGCTACTCAGCTACATCGAGGGACTTTTAGTCCATCTGCCATCTTTCCCCACCTATCCCACCTCTTGTGTCCGCGCCAATTCCAGGGCGCCGCCATGTTCATCTACGCTCGCGCCACCACGCGGAGAGAACTGGCAGACAAGAGGAGGGGGGGGGGGGGGCTGCGTTGGCGGCGTTGCTTTGGGGAGCTAGATGCGGCAGGCTGTCCGAATGCACATCGTGAAAGATGTCTTCACCAGAAGCCTCCGCGGCCCGTTCTTCAACAGATAAGATGTCGTGAACATTCGAGAACCCATCTCGATCAAGAAAACAAGAGAAAACCTTTCTTGTCTTAAATGTTCTCGGTGTCTGCTGACCCTTGACATCCGCGTTTCATTCCGAGTTCATTGCGTAATAAATATTTCGCTACTGCTTTCTTGTAGCTTCCAAATGCTTGATTGTTGGCTTTTTGTATACGACATTACACTCGGGGCACGTTTGAGACCGATTTTCGCAATCTGCTTGCCTTTCTGCGGCAGCGCGGCTCTGTCGAGCCGAAATAAGTGGGAGGCGTTCACTTGATCGAACGCCGTTTTAGCGAATGAAAACGAGACCACGACGTTTTATCGAATGACTAGCGAATGGGTCTAGTTACATAGACAGCTCGGATTAGCTTTCTTTTGTAATGTGCCGCCTTGTCTGCCGCCGCGAAGCGGCGTAAACGAAAGCTCCCAGTACGTTAGCACGCAAACCCCCCTCCCCCCCCCCCCCCCCACACACACACACAAATACACACGTGCTGCGAGTGTCTGGGTTCAAAACTATTAATTGCCAGTTCTAAAGGTTGGTACTTGCTTGAAATGGGAGCTGGAATTAGGAGGTACCAGGAGACACTTACTATCGGGCAACGAAGCAGGGTGCCTGTGGGGGCGGGGTCTAGGAACGCTACTGATTAATATTGTGACAGGCGATCAGCTATGATAACAGACGAAAACTTCGACTCGTTTGTTCAAAAGTTCGCGGTGATATTTTATTAGCCCTCGTTACAGCACACCAAGGATCTTAGGCAGTGAAATTCACATCACGCAGGCTCGTCCGTCGTAGTCAAATGAGTGCAGTCGACGACGAGGTGTAATGAGCTACTAAGCTTCACAAGGAAAATGCCCGTGAGAAAGAGTTTTGAGGCAGTCCAAAACACCGATCCAGCAGACGGACGTACGTACGTTTACTCCGGACTCCATGAACCCGACGCCGCAAGATCAAAGCGATCAAAGAGCACCGCCGCCATCGCCACCCAGTTTTCTCTGCACTTTGCGCGACAACGGCACTGCAACGGAGGGCACTCGCCTCGGCGTTAACAATCCGAGAAATAGATTAATTTCCCACTCTTGAAGCCATTCCAAATGGTAAATGAAAATACCTCGGCGTTGTAGAACATCTGACGACACAACTGTGCCGAGCGCCTGCTCGGGATCGTTGTTGCTCGTGAAGGCCAGCTTATTTGTATTTGAGACGAT